ATATGATGAAATTCTAAATACACAAATAAGATAATTTTTAAATTGAATATAAAATGAGAAATCAAATCCGACTTCAAAATTTGTGGGGAAAAACCATTTATTCATCTTTCACCTTTTTAATCAAATATCCAGCATCTTCTTCTTCGACGGCAACAGGGGCAGCACAAGTGGGGCGGCGGCAACGGGGAGAGAAGAAATTATATAAAAAATTGCTTCAGAAATTCCGAAGCCAAAAAAAATAATCCTATTCCTCCACGCCCTTGGGTCTGCAACTTCGAATTTGGTCTTGAAAATTCCGAAGCTATTCCGAGGCCACAAAAATGGCAATGAGATTTACTCTTCGGGCATCAATCCAAGCCAAAATCCGAGGCTTTAAAAATAATAGTCTCAGATCTAGTTTAAATTTTGAAGTTATTTTCTGAAACGGACTTTGTTTTTTCTGGTAGTGGCCGTTAGTGACGAAGAAGGATTGAGGAAAAGAATGAAATGTGAAGAAAAGAAAAAAAGAAAAAGAAAAAAAAAAGAATTAGAGAAGAAAAAAATAAGAAAGAAAAAGAAGAAAGATGAATTTGAGCGTTGGTTATGGTAAAAGAACTTTATAAATTTTTTTAATTAATAATTTTAATTTAAAGTATCATATATTTTCTTCATCCCAAGAGCCAGTTTTGTAATAAATTAATAAATAATAATATTTTATTGATTAGTGAAAGTATGTAAAAAATTTTGATATTTTTGTAATTTGATTTTTTTATGTGTAAAATAATTGTATATTTAATGATATATTTGTAATTTAAATAAATTTTAAAGATATTTAGAAATTAGATCATCTCTAACTTATAATTCAAATTTTGCAGAATTTACAATACATTTCTCTATTCTTGCAGGTCTTCTAAATTATTCATCTCTAATCATACCCTCTATTTTATTTTCATAATAACACATCTCCACTTACATAGTTTATTTTACAGGTTAATGAATATTTTATTTTATTTATTATTTATATATTTTTTAAATTATATATAATATTTTAAAAAAATTTCAATAAAAAGAGTCCTCTCGTATAAGAGAATCTGCTCCACCCTCTCATCCCAAAGGGTGATGAATACAAAAGTTAATGGCGGGTTGGACTAACCCATCCCGTAAAAATAATAAAATTGATATTTTTTTTAGGATGAATTAAAGATGATTTTAATGTATGATTTTTTTTTTAAATAAAAAATGAATACCGATAAACAAAACAAATAAAAAAATATTTTAATTTGAAACGAAAAAAATATTAATTTTTTCGTCTCATGTATGTGTATTGTAGATATGAGATTTTAAATAACCTAATTAATAATTAGTTAAAAAAATATATATTAATAAAAATAATTATAATACCATATATTGAAATTAAAATTATTAATTAATCTAATTAAAATTAAAAAAATTGTATATTAGATAATTTAAAATATAATTAAAATATATCATCATTTTTTCAAAAAAAAATGTAAAATTGAATCTGAGACTAAAGTAACAATATGAATTCAAAAATATCGATGAAGAGAGTGTTAATATTAATAAAAAAATATATAGAAATTAGTATACATATAAAATAATATACAATGTAAATTACAAATCAATTTATATTTACATATTTAAATAATAAAATTATAAGTTAAAATAATTTTATTTTTTATTTTTAATATAAATCACATGGTTACTTATATAATTTTTAACAAATAAATATATTTTTCGAAATAAAAAATTAATCGTCAAATTTTAATTATAAAAATTGAAATTAAAATAAATAAATAAATAAAAATTGTTTGTTTTTAAATAGAAATGCCAGTTTCAAAATATGATTCAGAAGGTTTTATTGTGATGTTAAATAATGTTCGTTTCATCTATGAGTTTAAACTTGACCTCTGATATAACATTAAATAACTTTCTCACTTAAAAACTTATGTTTGAAAGGATATGTATAATTTATTTATGTATTTCTTTTGGTTGAGTTTGAAAAAAAAAGGTTTGGGTTTAATAATAAAATAATATTTGATGAGATGTTTTATGAAAAAAAATATATATATTTTTTTTGAAAAACATAAAGTCCAAATAGTTAAATTTGGATAAATTTGGCAAAAGAAAAATGAAAATCAACCAATATTTCGATTCGACGTTTTTGATAAAAATAAAAATAAACGGCAATTCAAATTGTTTGAGCAAATCTAACCTTATGAGACAGACACGATTGAAAAAACATTGACAAGATTTGAACCAAAAATATCATTAATTATCATATTACATATTGCACCAATTTCATCAATCTTTGCATAATATTTTGGGAAAAACTCATATTTAATTTTTTTTTTATATAAATTAATTTATATTAATTATGTATAAACAAACATATATATTTATTTATGTAAAATTTATTATCTAAAAAATGATATTTATATTGAATATAAGTTATTTAAATATAATTTTAAAACTTTCAAAATATATTTTAACCTTATTTATAATTAAACATATATATTAATTATATTATAATACAACCAAACAAAATTGACCATTCGCAACAGTAAAACTTTATTTAAAATTGTTCTTTTAACAAAATTCTTCAGAACATTCCTTCAAAAAAATTAATATACTCTTTATGTTAGAAGGTAAAAATTAATATACTCTTTATGTTAGAAGGTGCAAAATTAATAGGTGCAATTCACTATTTATTTTCATATTACCTACACAATTTCTCATACTTCATGTAAAAAATATCAAAATACAAAACAAACACATAATTTTATAAAAAAATATATATACTCCCTCCGTCCCATAACTAAATATCCATTATTTTAGAAATATTAGTATTATATTTGGATGTAGTAGGAATAAAGTAGAAATGACTAAAATAACCTTATTAGTATGTGTAATATAAAGGTAATGACATTTGTGTAATATATTGTAAGTTGTAAGAGTATCTGTAATGTTATGTAGATAGTACAGTTACTAAAAAAAATATTTTGCTATGGAACGGATTAAAATGGAAAAATAAATACTTTGTTATTGGACGAAGGGAGTATATAAATTAAAATTATAAAATAAAAAAAATCAAATTTTAAAAAGTAATAACCGAACCTTAGACCACCACAAAATTGGCCATATACTTATATGCTCACTTTCTATGTATTTTAACAATTTATTAATTTTTCTATTTTGGTCAGTCTCGCAATAAAATATTTATTTCATTTTATTTTAGTAATTGGGCTCTCTACTAACATTAAAAATATCCTTACAACTTACAATAGATTACACAAATGTCATTACTTTTATATCACACAATGCTAATAAGATTATTTTAGTATTTTCTACTTTATTTATACTACATCCGAATATAATATTAATATTTTTAAAACTCCGTGCAACAAGCAAACGGATATATATATATATAAGGGAAGGATGAAGTATTATTTTATCGAACTACTTGAATCATTTTAATACATAAAATATTATTAAAATATTTATAAATTATTAATCTACATATTCATTATATAAACAAACAATTCTATCCAATCCTCGTAACACATTAACACTTTTATGCATTCATTTTGTGTTTTTTTAATAAATGTATTTTTTATATTAAGTATAAAAATTGTATCTATAATATAAAAAATAATATTTTAAATTAAATTGTTAACTTTTTTTTTTGTAGATAAAATGTATATATTATATAAATTGTGTTCATATATAATGTATTACTATATATATTTTTTTAACAATAATTTTTATGCCGAATTGTACACTAAAAATACAAAGTGAACAATAGTTTCATAACTAATAAGGAATAAACACATTAGTTTTTTATTTTATTTTATTTTTTATTAAATAAAATTATTTTTATTAAAAATATTATAGAATAAGATTAATTTTTTATATAGAATATTATATTTAGCAACTGTTATTATTATTATTATTATTGTTGTTATTATTATTATTATATCTAAAGACCATCAAACAAAAACTTTGGAGTATGCTTCTTTTTAAGGTTTGTATTTGAATACAAAATTTTAAAATACCAACAATTTGAATTTAAAATAACATTTGATATAATATGAATACCTTGATGTAATATTTTGCATGAAAAATAAATTTTTTATTCGATAACTTTAAAGAAAAAGAAGTAACGTGCAATGAAAAATCAAAAATAAAATCTAAAAAAATAGACCATTACAATTTATATGAATTTCAAAATAATTATATTAAACTAAGGGTGTGTTTACTTGTGAAGTTTTGGTTTTGAATTTTGTTTTGAATAATAAAATTTTGAATGGAAATAGTTGTTTGATGTCGTATAAATATGTATTGACTTGATATTTTGAATGTAAATTATATTTTAGTGTAATAAAATAAATAAAAAATAAATATTTGATTTGATATTTTTTAAGAAAAAAAATTGAAATAGTAAAATCAAGAATCAAATTATACGGGTAAACAGAGCCTAAATTATAAATAGAAAATTCATATTTTTTGTGGATGAAAAAAAATCAAAGTTTGTTTGGTTTGATTTGAGTTTGGAATTGATATTTAAATATGATTTGATGTGATATTTTATACTATTCCCCTTTGTGATAAAAAAATGTTTCCACTTTCTTTTTTAGTTTTATCATTATATTTTTTTAGCAAAAAATTTTACTTTTTTTACTTTTTTAACTATTTTTTAAAAATATTTTTTTATAATAAATAAAATAATATAGATATTAAAATTCATGCTCAAATAAATTAAACACATTTCTCTACGAGAGAAAAAATATATTGAAATTGATACAAATTGAATAGTATTTGAAAGTCAAACCAAACACGGTTCAAAGTAAACACATCTGTACTCCAAAATCCCATGTGGATTCTTTCCTTCAATTATTTCACCCGACTTTTCTTCCACCCCCTCCCCCCCCCCCCCCCCCCTCATCTATCTATCTATATATACATACATATACATATATATATATACATTCACTCTCAACCAACACACCATTGATCCCAACAACCAAAGAAAATCACACAACTCTCAAGCTTGTCCAAAAAAATGGGCTTCAAGTTGTCTCAAACCAAAGACAAGCTAAGAAGGACAATATCTCTCACCAAAGGAAGCCGCAACAACAACAACAACGACGACAACATGGTACACAACGAGATTGTCCCTAAGGGCCATTTCCCGGTGTACGTTGGCGAAATGCACGCGCGATACGTGATCCCTATTGCGTACTTGAACCACCCCTTGTTTCAAAATCTATTGCATTTGGCCGAGGAAGAATTCGGATATGATCATCCATTGGGAGGCCTCACCATTCCTTGCGATCAAGATTACTTCCTTAGCTTGACTTCTCAACTTAGTACCTCTTCCCATATGCCACTCTCTTTGTAATGATCATCTACTTTGTCTTCAACATGGTGTACCCGATATATATGTAGTAGCTAGATAGGGTCGATTGGTTGGGGTCAAAGGGATTGAAACTAGGAAAGATCCATCAATTTTGGCAATGAAGAACGAATCATTGATGTTCTTTCAATTGGCTCTAGTAGTATAGTACGATGTAAATTTTGTGGATCAGATATGAATATATATGCGGTCTTTCATATTATAGGTTTCTTCTCTTCTGTCATTTAAATTTATTTTTATTTTTCTTTTTTTAATTGTCATCCAAACTTATTATCGTTCTTCTTTTTAGTGAAATATACATTTTTTTTTACTATATATAAAAAAAAAAGTTTCTATTTTTAACAACTTTTAAAAAATCATGTCCGGTCAAATTGACATAATTTTTACATGACGGATGGAGTATTGTTTAAGGTTTTTTTTTTTTTTTTCTACCTTAAAATTAGTAAACAATAGTTGGTTCGGGGGCAAGACAAGCTTTTGAGTGTTCATGTGCTTGAAGGATCAAAGCTCGAATGGGGCAATCAATTTTGGAGACTAGAAATTCATTTGTGTTCTTTCTATTAGCTTTGGTACTAGATGAATATAGTCTTTGCTATTACATACTTGTTTTAAGGTTGGTTTATTTCCACCTTCGAATCCTTTTAACATGTTTGATTTAGTGGGCAATACGAGGATTAATTAAGCGATCGTTGACACTAATGATAGTTTAACTACAAAACACAAAGGAAGTCTTCTAGAAAAAGCTTCGAGCGTATGGAAATTAAAGGATTCGCTAAATGTAGACATTATTCCCTGCTTATATATATACACATATATATATATGTATGTATTGCTCGCTAATTAGGCATGCTAAACATTGAAAACCTTGTATTAGTGTAATAACTAGAAAGTACTCGAATGATTAATTATGTTCGAATACAATGGCGACATCAGAATCATGGATGAATCGAGAAGACAATGGCAGCATGATTTTGGATAGAAACATATGAAATAGGTCATTAACTAATCAAAAAAAAAAAGAAAAAGAAAATTGATTGCGTTGAAATATAAAACTAAAATTTTCTATTTCAATCAAAAGTAAATTATATTTATTTATACAAATTGTTTAAATAACTCTAGAATTTTATAAACCTTACAAATAAGGCTCTTGCCATAATATAATAGATATAAAAATATATGTATCTTTTAAATATATATCGTAACAAATTCAAAAGACCAAGTGGCCTTAAGTGCATATATGTACAATAGCAATCACTGAAAATGTGTCTTTAATAATTTCTTTTTTTTTTCAAAATAAACACACGTAACTTTACATAGTTTACTATCAATGGACAATATTTATAACCAAGTTGTGTGTGTATAGGTCAACTTTATGTCGTCGACATATGCTTAGCAATAATAATGTAGACAAGACCATATTGCAAAAGGTACGAATGAGAGGACAACGGCACATGATGCATCACATGCAATTGCTTTCGTTCCAATTCACCGGATATATATCACCGATTGGACATGGAACTTGTACATATGCATATGTTCGAGTCGGAAAAAAAAAAAAAAAAAATGTCGAAAGGCCCTACCATTTTAGGCAACCAACAACATAGTTTCGATCGCGCTTCTTGAAAGGATCGATGGACGATGGGCGAAAAAGAATCTCATCAACAAGCTATATGGACTACCTATTACAAGGGTTTCAACACTTGATCATTACCATCCATGTAAAGGAGAAGGTGATTAAAAAGCATTGGTTAAAGGTAAGTCAACCATTTCAAGAGGGGTTGACTTAACAGCAAGTCTTTCATTTTCAAGAAGTCAACAAGCCCCCTCCCCTCCACTTCGAGCCATGATTGAATTGATGATATATATGTAATAAAACTTAGACACGAAAAGGGACCTCATTGACTAATAATTAAGTTAATGCGTAGAGCACATTATATTATTTTCCTCCAACACTAGTCTAGTGGCCTATGAATTATTATATTTGTAATAATTAAGGTTATCTCCATTATCCAACACTTGTGCGGCCTATGTTTGAAGATATACTTGCAAATTTTGATCATATGTATCGTTTTTATTATATTATATTCCTACCTTTTTTAATAAGTAGTTTTTTTTTATATTACTCCCTCCGTCCCGGAACTAAATATCCATTTGCTTTTTGTACGTAGTTTTAGAAATATTAGTATTATATTGGGATATAGTATGAATAAAATAAAAATGACTAAAATAACCTTATTAGTATGTGTGATATAAAAGTAATGACATTTGTGTAATACTATTGTAAGTTGTAAGAGTATTTGTAATTGTGATATAAAAGTAATGACATTTGTGTAATACTATTGTAAGTTGTAAGGGTATTTGTAATGTTAGGTATATAGTACAGTTACTAAAAAAGGAAATGAATACTTTGTTATGGGACGGACTAAAATGGAAAATTGGATACTTTGTTATGGGACGGAGGGAGTATGTTGGTTTGTCCAAATACAATTTTTCTTTTTAAAGAAATAAATATAGATCACACTATACTATAGTTTATAGACACGTAGCTTTATATTCGTATTTATGTTTGTTTATGTTAATATCATCACATTTAATTTACATGTCAAAGGAAAAAGAGTTTTTACATATAATTTAATTTATTACAAAAAAATAAATGAATATCTTTGAAACAGATAAAGTATATATTTTATAGATGTGTTTAATCTTTCGAGTTATCTTTTATCGATCTTTTGTTGTAAAATTTTATGTAATAATTATAATTTTTAAAATTTCATGACAAGAACAAGTACATGGAAATTAATAACTTATGAGATCATAACAAGTGTGTTTGTTGGATTTTGAGTTGTGTTTCATTTCTTGATATTTAAAATAGTAAAATTTTAAATTAAAATAATTATTTGATTTGATATAAATAGATATTAATATAATATTTTAGTATAATTATAATAAATAATAAATAAGAATAGTTTGATTTTTTTGGAGAAAATAATTTAATACTCTCTTCGTTCAATTTCTATTGTCCTAAAGTATATTTGCACGATTTTTTAAGTGATTGTCTTTTTATTATAAATGGACAAATTTGCCCTTAATTATATGATAGAGATTAAAAATAATAAATGAATGAAGGGTAAAAATGTAAAATGTGTGTTTAAAAAAGAAAATAGGACAATAGTTGTTGGACGTCCCAAATAAGAAAGTAGGACATTAGTTTGTGGACGGAGGGAGTAGTTAAATATGAATTGAAAATTTACAAACAAATAAAGCCACTATGAGTGTACAAAATTATCAAACAAAATAAAGAATGATAGTGTATGTATAAAATTAAAATTGCTAACTTTCATTATTTTTTGTTTTCCATATACAATGCTTAATCACGAGCAAAACTAAAATATATTTTTTGATCGAAAGGACCAAAGAAAAGAAGTTGATTCTAAGCATGTAATGAAAGCAAGATCTTCCCTTGACTTTTGAAAGATTCTTTCAACAACGGGCCATTATATCCATCCGTCGGCGGTCCCAAACTACAACTCGAAATAACACTAATAGTCTAAACATCACAAGTTAGTTAATTTATGAGCATGTAATATTCTTACATGATTGCGCTTTCTCTCACACTTTTTATTCATGAGTTCTTTAGCGTGTCACTTAGCTCCTCTATAGTATTAAATATTTATTTGATATGATATAATAATATATCGGATGTAATTTTTTTAAATAGAGATAAGTTTTTAATGTAATATTTCCTTTGTCCCACTTGAATAATTTTTTAAAAAAAAGTAATAAAATAAAAAAAATAATAATATTATATTAATGAAGGAGTTTGTGTAAGACGGAAAGTAAATAATAGGGTAAACTGTTTTTTTAGTCCCGTAACTGGACCCCTTATCATTTTAGTCTTGTAAGTGGAGTCTATCGCAAACTAGTCCTCCGGCGCCGGAGACGCCCGCGTAGCTCGCCGGAGGTGACGCGTCCGCCTGGTGTCCCGCCAAGTTAGCGACACCCGGCGGACACGTGGATTTTTATTTTTTATTTTTCATTTATTTTAATTTTTTAAATTTTTTTTAATTGAACCAAATAAAAAAATGCAAATAAAATTAAAAATAAATGAAAAATAAGTTTTAAAAAAAATTAAAAAAATGAAAAATAAAATAAAAATCCACGTGTCGCTGACCTGGCGGACACGTCACCTCCGCGAGCCACGTGGGCTCTTCGGCGCCGGAGGACTAAAACAATGAAAATTTTTCACTTATGGGACTAGTTTGCGACAGGCTCCACTTACGGAACTAAAATGATAAGGGGATCCAATTACGGGACTAAAAAAACAGTTTACTCAAAATTAAAAACATAGCGCAAAGCTCATTTTATGGCAGAAGTATATTCACCGGCTACTTCAAGTGACGGGACATGACAACAACTTGTTACGTTGTTGAGAACATGCACAAAAGTCTACATTAATTGCTTTGTTTGTGTAAAAAAACAAACACATCTTTTGATTGATCTCGTCTTCCGTACTTGTGGATATAGCCGCGACATGTCTTAGACATCATTAATTATTTTGAGGATTTGATGTATAAACTTGAAACTTTCACAAAATTATAGGTTTGGACATATTAGGGTGCGTTTGTTTGGGGTATTAGATTTTGAGTTGGGATTTGAATAGTAAATCCATCAACTATTCCCATGATACACTACTTAGTTTGTGAAAATTTATTTATATATATATAATTGTTGGATTTTGGATCAAATATATGTATCGAATATATTGTTAAAGTTATTATTTTATTCAGTCATATTATTTAAGTGGTCTAATTAATATAATTAATTATTGACTGATAGGTTTGATTGTTATACAATGAAAGTGCAGCTACCCGTATAATATTACTATTTCGGTGACGTGACAAATTAATAATATTAATTAAGGGCATAATTGTAATTACAATTATGTTTACCCTATTATAGATAGGCTAGGGTTAGGTCCCCAGGATCAGTACGCCGTAAAAGAGATCTGATTCTCCATACAGTTTCTGCTCCTCACCCGTCAAAGATATAAAGGAAACCGGCACCTTGATCTTGGAAGACCAAACCTTTAATCACGTAAAATTCGTATATGGCTTCATCATCAGGTATGCTTCTGCTTTAAGGATCGGGCATTTAAATTCAACATTAATTTGTCATTATCTTTTTATTCCGATAATAGAAAAATT